GTTTATAGAGGATACGCACACAGAGACGCCAACTAATGGATTGTGCAATTAATCGGGGTTTCTGGCACACATAATGTATGTTCGTGCGTGTGTGTGTCTCCGACGTTGCTACATTAGCCAAAACTACCTGGCACAGGATTTTTGACAGGGACTGTACGTAACACTCAGATTATCTTTCAACTTGCCCCTGGTTCAGCCAAGCCTCCACAATCCATCCAGGTTAACGGTACTACCCTGTCTAATGTTACCCACTTTCAGTACCTAGATTCCCACCTGCCCACCACCACGAACATCGATGAATAGATTCAACATCGGATCAGATGTGCTTCTCAAGCCTTTGGCAGACTCTGTGCCCGTGTCGTCAGCTGTAGTGAGCTGAAATTGTCTACAAAGTTACGTTTTCAAGAAGTGTTCCTGCTTACCCTGCTGAATGGTAGCGAAACATGGGTCACATACAGGAGGCACCTTAAGGCACTTGAATATTTTCCCCAGTGTTGTCTACGTTCCATCCTCCGAGTTCGCTGGGAAGACAAGAGAACAAATGCCAGTATTCTCGCAAACACCAACTGAAGGAGCATCGAAGCTGCCATTATCCATTAACAACTACGGTGAACTGGCTATGTTACCCGCAAGTAATATACTAGACTGCCAAAGCAGCTGCCTTACATTCACTTAATGAATGGTAAACGTAACACTGGCGGGCAACGGAAAAGGTATAAGGATAGTATTCAGACAAAAATTAAAAAGTGCCAAACCGACCCCCTTACCTGCGAGATAATCATTCAAACTGTAACACTTGGAGGACCCCCACACGAGAAGGGGCCACCCATTTCGAGTTAGCCCGACTGCATACCGAGACCGATAAGAAACAAACGCCGAAAAGACGTTGACGCCGCCCCTCACACAATATATGTATCCCTCCACATGCAGTGTCAGTGGAGGGCCCTGTCGATCCCGTATCGGTCTCTCGAGTAACCTTAGAGCTCACCAACGAAGGTGACATCCTTATTAACTTATATCATTGTAGCATACTTGGATGATCGTCATATTCGATTTGGAGTGACAGCAAAGTAGTGGAAGAATCCCCCCATGACGGACCCCTCCTCCGCCCTCTGGAAGAAGCCATCAATGTCAATTTTATCCCAATACAAGTGAAAGACCCTTACTTAACCCCAGCAGAAAGGTCACTCCTTGCACTACCACCGAGACTAGGAGGAATGGGATTGACTAATCCAGTGGAGCTTGCCCATACACTACATCAGAACTCTGTCAAGCTCACGGCAGCTCCCACTGAGCACATATTAGATCAGAATGCAGCAAGTCAGGTGGATACCAACGAATTAAACACAATTCGACGGTACATTACGACAGAGAGGCATCACACCCAAAGTGATAAACTACAACAACTGTTGCAACAAGTGCCAGAGAACTTGAAAGAAAGGTAGCTATAGCACAGGAGGTGGACACCTCGAACTGGATAACAACGTTACCGATAAGGGCAAAAGGCTTCATCCTTAATAAACAAGAATTCACAGATGCCATTGCTCTAAGGTACGGTAGGCCAGTAGAAGGTTTGCCCTCCCAATGCGTGTGCAGCTCATCTTATGACATCGACCACGTCATGGTGTGCAAGAAAGGGGGCTTCGTATGCATGAGGCATGCCGATGTAAGGAATCTAACAGCAAATCTACTGAGGGAAATATGCCACGACGTCATGGTGGAACCGCCCTTCCTTCCATTGGACGGTGAGAACCTCCGTCACAGGACTTTAAACACATCCAACGAAGCCCGTGTGGACGTCAGTGGTCGAGGATTCTGGACGCGGGGACAGCGAGCCATTTCTGACATAAGGATTTTTGATCCTATGGCCGCATATCACCGCAACCTAGCTTTCGATGCTGCACACAGGAGGAACGAGAACGACAAGATTAGGGCATATGGGGAGAGAATTTAGAACGTTGATCAAGGCAGCTTCACTCCTCTGGTGTTCACAACCTCTGGCGGGATGGGACCAAGTACAAGATGCTTCTTCGCCAGACTCGCGAAGGTGTTATCTGAACTGAAGCAGGAGCCCAGAAGTTATGTTACAGCCTGGTTGAGATGTCGACTGTCCTTCTCTCTACTTAGGTCTGCATTGCTTTGCCTCAGGGGATCGAGAGCATCAGCCCCAAAGCCGACAACAATCGCAGATACCGACTTTGAGGCAACAGTCACTGAATGTCGCATAGATCTGCGGCTCAACTAACTCAACACAGCTAGTATAGCTACTTATGTATTAGGATATTTAATTTTAAGGTAATAAAATGGCGGCGAAGGTGTGGCTATTGGGGGAGGATGGAGGCCACGTAATACGTAGGAGTAGTAGGTGTGTGTGTGTGTGTGAGCCCACGCCTAATTTTCTTAACCTTCGATTAAACTTCTTTACATAAGCCGCATATAATCTCATCTTTAAGTCATCTCATTTCACGATCAATCTCCTTGACAAATTATGAATAAAGGTTTGATATAAAAAAAGAATATTAATGAAACAAACTGAATATTAAATTCTGATTTGGCCGTTCAAGTTACACGGCCTAAATAACGTCGCGTGAAAATAATATAAATTAAATCCTAGTAATAATTATACACTACAAGTTCATCGAAAATTGAATGCCCAGATTTTAACATATAACTAATTAAAATTTGGGCTTACTTTCACAATGACCCTGTATAAGAGATTGATAAAATGATTTCTGCGTTTCATCTTTACAAAAATAAATGAAGGTAAGAACTAATGTCAAACGCTAATTTCTCACTTGAAAAATCGAATCAAATTAGCGATTTGACAGCATGTGCTAAAAGATGTGAAAGAATATTAAGAAGAAATCGTTTAATTTCGATGCTTGATCTGTAAAATAATCATCGAAAAAATACTCCCTATTTTTCTCTCTCTATCTTTCAAAACTGTATTTACGCTCTAAAAAATTAGTATACACTGTAACTAATCAAATATTTTTCCCGTTTACATTTCAAAATAAAAAATAAATTGACAAAAACACATAATCACATTTTGTTGTCACAATTTTTTCAGTATTAAGGTCGCAATCTTTTTAATGTTTAGTATGGTCGTAATTTTCTGTTTCATCCCGCCAGGTAATAAGATCAATTAAACAGGTGATTAGGTTTCGTATAACAAGGAAGCTAAACACAAAACAGATCAATAACACGAGCACCATTGGAGCCCCAATGGTGGTAGAGTGATGGTGGAGATAGTGGTAACAGCGGTGGTAAATGGTATGGTGGTGGTGATAGTGGTAGTAGTAGTGGTAAATGGTGTGGTGGTGATGATAGTATTGTATCAGTGGTAGCGATAATGGTGGTAATAGTGACAACAAATGTTAGTGGTAGTAATAGTAGTGGTGACGATAGTGGTATAGTGGTATAGTGGTATACTGTAGGTAGTGGTAGGAGAGCTTGTTGGTAGTGGTGTTGATATCTGGTAGCGCTGTTAGTATAATCACACACACACACACACACACACACACATTAAACAAGACTATAAAATGTCTCTCTCGAGACTGTCAAGTAATTAAGACAACCCACGAACTTCCGGCACCACTTCCTAATTGTCAGACGAACTTGAGTTGACTCAAAGCTGGTCCAGGTAATTGCTGGTGTTAAAATGTTCTCCCTTAACTCAGATCATGATTCTCCTTTAACTCAGATCGTATTCTACCTTAGCTCAGATCATATTCTCCCTTAACTCGGGTCATGTTTTCCCTTAAAACAAGCCATGTTATCTCTTAACATGGGTTATGAAAACGTATACAACTAGATAAGATACTTTAAAAGCATAGGTTAGGTTACGTTTTGTTACGTTACGTTAGAGCTGGCCATGAGTAGTATCGCCATTTTTACCCATTCTATTATTTTGTCAGCCTAAACAAACATTAATTATACCTTATTTATATTTCACTGTTTGGATAAACGTTTGTGTGAATGAATGAGAGTTTACTATCTGTGTAATAAGTATATCATATAAAACATCCTTAACCCCAGCACAGAGTACAACAAGCCTCGAGGTAAAGATACTGGTGGTTTATTTTCACGTTGTAAATAAAAGTCAACACTTACTCATGATCTAGTAAATAAAAAGTCGAGAAGATCCATAATTCTTTTATTACTATGTACACAGAACACAAGCTGAGCGGCAACTGAGGATTAAGAATTCGAAAGTGAGGACGGATAAGCCGAGGATTTATATATATTTATATATTTATATACATTTACACAGGTGAGGACACAAGCTGAATTACCTCTAGGAAACAGGTCAAGTACATGTCCAGTAATTTATATATTTGATGTGCATTTTTTTTTATTTTACTCTCTCTCTTTCTCACTTTCTTTATCTCTTTATACAGACTCTTAAATATACTTACAGTTATGAAAATATAAAAATAATACGACTTAGCTATTATACAGACAACGTACGTTGACATATATTGGGGTACCGTCTCCACTAAATACCTCATTATATCTCATTTTATTTCGCATTTTTCCACAGGTTGTGTAAGGAGGATAACGTGTAGGGTCCTAGTAAAATAAACTCTGTTAATATCTAGAGATCAGTTTAGATGACGAGCAAATATTATTTTATATATAATATGTACAAACCTTAAACTCAAAACAAGAGGCAATTAACAAAAAAAAATAGAAAAATTATTTGAATAAAAGAATACATAAATGCTAAAAGAATGTGTCAGAAAAATCTTAATTGAAAGAAAATATGTATACTGTACAGCACTGTAGATGTATTCTAAAATAATGTAATAGAGAATAAACACTCGAATTATGGTCCTCCTGCTTCAAGTGAGGCTCAAAATTCGGATAAAATTTTAATTCAGTAATTTAAAGAAGAAATTAAAACAAAATTTGACTGTACACGTAAAAATTATTATTAAAAAACATAAGTTGTCGTTTAACTAAAAAAAAAGTAAGTGTATCGTTTAACACTTCCCACCAAATTTTAAATTAATCGTTCAATTCCAGAATAAAAATCTAACTTAGCTGAGATAAAAGAAAAAATTAATACTGAAATTTAAATTAAAAATGTTTGTGATTCAGTTGGGCAAAAGAGTTCATTAATACTGGGGAAGATAAGCCCCTAAGAGGTAAATGAGGAGGTGAACCAAGGAAAGCAGACGTGGTGTCGAGCTGATATGATACAAATGGAGGGCAGAATGTTTTTACACAAATTAGAACGATAAGCGATAAAAGGGTCATAGCTATATTTATGCACCATTAATCATTCACTATACGCTATACTGTAGATGTAGCCTCCTCTACCTCCTCCAGAGCTCTATGTGTCTTGTTGTCCCCCACGTGGTTGATCTCTACTTCACATATTACAATAGCTTCCCCGTGGCCTGGAGATTTCCCGTTTTCTGTAGTTGGCAACCCTTGGTCTGTCAGGAGCCCTTGCTTGACGGGGCTGGTAGCTTTGGTGCTTGTCTCTCCCTCCGCTTTCGCCTTCTTTTTCGCCTTGGACTCGTTCACCGCTTGCTTTAGTATCTCCTCTTGCTCAGGTGTGAAGGACAACCTAGTGTAACAGTTCTTGATAGGGTGAGGAGAGCCAGCTTGCTTCACCACGCCGCTGGGAGACGAGGACGAGTCGTGGAGGTGGCGATGGTCGTTGTGAGGAAGATTGTGGTGTTCGTCAGGTGATGGTTCGTCGTCGCTGTGAGTGCTGTGACTCATCTCCTGCACGGTGCTCAGTCGCTCGTTTTCCGCCGTGCAGCTATCAGGCTTAGTGGGTGTCCTGGGACACAAAGGAAACGTATGTTAGACGAATATACATACACTGTATAAAAGAGCAAAATTCTTCACTTCCTCTAAATTTCATAATAATTTTAAAATTGTGAGTATATATATATATATATATATATATATATATATATATATGAACACTGAATTGACCAAAGTCACGACCTGGGTAATACGCAATAAACCGACCTTAAACCTCTAAAAAAAATACACAATCTTTCGCAGAAGGAAAAATTTACCCCAAGATTTGGACCCTCTGTATTTTGGTAATACAGCCCTCAAGCGTGAACAATATACTAAATTCCTTGGGGATATTGTTGATGATAAACTAAGCTGGAGAAACCACATAAAAGCCATTCACAGTAAATTCAATAAACAGTGCGGTATCATGTATCACACTCGTCAGTCACTCACTCTTGCAGCAATGAAAGAAATATATTATGATCTTGTTTACCAACACCTGATACACTGTCACACACTATGGGGGGCCTCTGGCTCTAAAAAAACACAACCTCTGATAACTGCGCAGAAGAGAGTTGTGCCAACAATAATCTACTTGAAAAGAATGACCACACTAACGAACAATTTGCTAAATTGAAAATGTTAACATTCGAGGACATTAACACTTACTGCTGTGCTCTATTTGTTTACAAATCTGTCAATCACTTGATTGACAATAATTATTTCCAGTTCTGGAATAATCAGAGATACAACTTAAGACACCCCGAGCTACTAAGACCACCCCCCATGCGCTCCTCTCATTCCCAGACCTCCATAAAATATTATGGTGTGAAGGTATGGAACAGTTTACCCTCACCCATCCGAGCAAAGACTACGCTCCCTTCCTTTAAATCGTCTCTGAAAAAATATCTATTGTGTAAGTAATTTTATTTTTGTAATACCTACTTTATATTCCTACTTTTATTGTACCACCAAAACCATTATATCAGAAATTGTCATGTAGATAAATAGAAATTACCATTGCAATGGTTATATATATTTGCCGACAAGACATGATATTGACAGCCTCTGTCCTCTTGTTTCACCTTAATGCAACCTAGGTTGTGCTGCATCACTCCCTTATCATATTAATGTATATCAACTCCACTGTAAAATATGTATATACTGTACTTATAAATTTAAAAAAATAAAATAAATAAATAAATAACGAAGTGATAACAGTGATAACATTCTGATATGTTCTTACTACCACCATGTTAGGTGTTGTATTCCAGATGATACTAAATGTTACCTAATACTTCCTTGAGATAAATGTACATTTTTATATCAGGTGCCACTAAGAGAGCTCCGGCTCTGAACTGGCTCAGCCATGTCAATATTGTTATTATTATCGACTCTGTATCTCTATTTTTCTGACTAAATAAACTGTTTCAATTCAATTCAAGCTTTCTTGGAGGCACCTAATATATACTGTACATTTATCTCAAGGAAGTATTATGTAACATTTAGTATCATCTGGAAAAGTAGACGTAACTTGGGTGTATTAAGAACGTTAAAATTAGGCATGTCTGTTTATTTAAACTGATGATTACCTAACCTAACCTAAGGTTAGGGGTTTAATAATTATAATCAGACTAAAACCGTTGGGGTGCTTAACTTCACGTGATCCCATATTATTATTCTTCAACATCGCAAGAACGAGAGGTTGACAGAGAGTAGGCTACAGCTCACCTAAGCGGGGAAACATTCCGCTGGAGGGAGTCTTGTGACCCTCCTACCATGGTGCCGAGGAGGGAGCCGTTGTTGCTCTGCTGGGAGGCTCTTGCGGTGCGGGTCAGGTCACACAGGGTTATCTGGGTCAGGGTTGAGTTGCGGTGGTTGGGTGCGTTGACCACAGTGTTGTGTGGAAAGGTGTTGTTGACAGACGAGTAGGCGCCCTTATACCTGGTGAGAGAGAAGTCATTTAAGGCCAACTAGTGAGAGATAGACGCCAGATAAGGTCAACTTGTAATTGGTAAAAGAGAGAAAGACAAAGAGACAGAAGCCACGTATGATCAGTATGTACAGTATCTCAAAAACGTATATGACCACAATGTGTGAAACATTAAGAGACCATACATGAGGTAAAGTCATAAATGAATAAATTGAGTCTTGTGCTTATGGAGTCTTCTAACAGGTCCTTAAATACCTGCGTTCTTTTACCTCCCTTTCTCACCTCCCTCGCCACGCACCCTCCTTCCTTACCTCCCTCATCACACACCGTCCGTCCTTGCCTTCCTCACCACGCACCCTCCTTCCTTGCCTCCTTCATCACACACTCTCCTTCCTTGCTTTACTCACCACGCATCCTCCTTCCTCACCTCCTTCACCACACACCCTCCTTCCTCGCCTCACTCACCACATATTCTCCTTCCTCACCTCCCTCTCTTACTTCACTTCTCTCCCTTATCACTCATCACACTTCCAAATCCCTCACCTCCCTTAAGTGCCTCGCCACTCACCACTCCTCCAAATTTTCCATCTTACTTCCCTCTCTCACCACTCATCACTCTTCCATATCTCTCACCTCCTTTCTCTCAGTCACCACTCACCATTCTTCCAAATCTCACATCATACTTCACTCTCTCACCACTTACCACTCAGCACGCCTCCAAATCTCTCACATAATTTCCCTCTCTCACCACTCATCCAAATATCTCACCTTTCTTCACTCTCTCGCCATTCATCAATCCTCCAAATCTTTCACCTTACTTCCCTCCCTCATCACTCATCACCACTTCTCCAAATCCCTCACCTCTCTTCTATCTCCCACCACTCATCACTCCTCTATATCTCTCACTTCACTTGCCTCCTTCACCATGCACCCTCCTTTCCCCCCTCTCTCACCAGAACACCCACCTCATGGCCCTCTTGGTGCAGAATCCGTATCTAGCGAGGAGGATGAAGAGGTCTCTGCGGTACTGTTTGGTGAGGATGGCATAGAGGTAGGGGTTGGCACACGAGTTGAGAGGGTAGAAGAACACCAGCAGGATCTTTGCTCTGGTAACGTTGATTAAGGGAACTCCTGCCACAGCCGTCAACCTGGGGATGGAGAGAAGGGTTTAGTGAGTTAGTTTGTTCTCTCTTTCTCTCTCTGGTTCTATCTATCTGTCTATCTATCTATTTATTTATCTATCTATCTATCTATCTATCTATCTATCTATCTATCCATCCATCCATCCATCCATCTATCTATCTATCTATCTATCTATCTATCTCTCTCTCTCTCTCTCTCTCTCTCTCTCTCTCTCTCTCTCTCTCTCTCTCTCTCTCTCTCACTTCCTGTCTACAAGATGACACCGCCACTACATATCAACGAGGTGTCGCGCATCCCAAACATTACCCTCATAAATTCATTCAAAAAACACTCAAGCATCCAACGTTGTACTAACTCAGGATACCTAATAGTGGTACCAGCTGTTGGAGAGAAGAGGGAACACCTACCCGAAGAAGGCAATGGGTGCCCAGCAGGCGAAGTCAGTGAAGACAAGGAGGGCCATTCGTTTAGCCACGGTGAGGTCAGAGTGAGGAGCGGTGGCATCGTGGCGGCTGATGGAACAGTACATTGAGGTATAGCAAGCGGTGATCACGACGAACGCCAGCCCGTTCACCAGCAGCAGGGAGACGAGGTATGCCAGAGCCAGACCGTTGCCCGTCTCCATAGGTAAACAGATGCTGAAGAGAAAAACTTAAGGTGTGAATATTATATCGGCACGACAGGCGTGTGGCAGTTGTGTTACAGAACTACAAAAATGTGTATGATAGACATTCAACACTGTGTATTATGACAGGTGTGCTAGAGAGGTAACACAATATATATGACAGGCATGTGTATTAGACAGGTACAGCAGTAATATGTCAGATGTGTTAGATACAAAAAATATATAGGAAAAATATAGCTATTAATCCATATGCAAAACATAAGTATTGACAGGTAAGACAGGTGTGACGAAGACCGACGAGACATACGACAGGTGTGACAGAGACTGAACAGGTGTGAGGACCTAAAGATGCTGCAGTAGGGATCAGTTGTTTATCTGCGTGGTGAGGACAACAGTGCTTAATTCTACAGTAACGACACTACAGTACACATACACACACACATGTACCTTCCATTGTAAGCACCATGCTGTACAGATCTGAGACTTAAGCAAATAATATTTTTTTTACTTTTTTTTAAGGGGAATAGCCCACCCTGGCACAGGTCATCGACCCACAACGGGGCATAGGGGGGCGAAAAAAATAAGTGTAAAAATAAATTAAAAATAGAAAAGATACAGATTATATTAATCTACACCACAAAAATGCCGGAAAACAAGCTTTTTTAAATAAGACAGATTATATGAGTATGCAAACACAGAAGAAGGCAGAGCATTCCACAGTTTGGCTGTGTGAGGAAAGAAGGATGTACTATAACGGGTTATTCTAGTGTGACCGACATACACAGAGAAACGGTGGGCATCGCGATGGTACACAGGAAGCTAAATCCACCGAACATTGCCCGCTAAAGTACCTGTAAAAGAGGGTGGAGCAACATTGCGGCGAAGAGAAAGGGAAGAAAGATTATCAACTAAAGGACGAAATGCCTTTGATTCCACCCTATCTAAAAGTTGAACAGAAAAAGAGCCACCCCAGATATGAGAGCATTACTCCAAGTAAGGACGAATGAATCCGTAATATACTGGAAGCAACTGTTCAGGAATGAAGTAGCTCCGGCATCTGTACAGCATTTTCAGCTTTCGAGAGGCAGCTTTGGCAATGTTGTGGATGTGTGGCTTCCATGACATATTATAGGAAATGGTGAGGCCTAGCATATCTATTTTAGAATTTGGCAGAATGATTGCGTCCTGAAATGTGATTGGTGAGAGATCATCTAATTTGGAAAGTGTAATTGGTAAATACTGAGTTTTATTACTATTGAATTAAACCAAGATTCTACCTCTCCATTCGGAGATGCTGCACAGATCCGCATTGATAGATGTAATAATATCAACTCTAGAAACAGAACTAGTTTGAGAATTAGTGGGAAGGGAAAATGTGAAGAAGAGTGAAGAGTAAATGCATCAGCGTAAGAATGGATAGAATTAGTCGTATGAAGTAAATCATTGATAAAAAGAAGGAAGACAGCAGGTGAAAGAACAGAACCCTGTGGGACACCACTATTGGGAGAGAAAGAGCGAGAGATCGATCACTCGACAACAACTGCCATGGATCGGTTCTCAAGGAAGCTAGAAATTAGAGAACAAAGTGGGGAAGAGAAACCATAAGAGGGAAGTTTAGAAAGCAAAGACAAGTGTCATACCCTGTCAAATGCTTTGGAGATGTCGAGGGCCACGACGAAAATTTCCCCACAATTCCGAAAAGAGGATGACCAAAGATGGGTGCAGTAGGAGAGCAGATCACTACTAGATCTCGCCTAACGAAAGCCGTACTGGTGATCCGTCAAAAGAGAAAAGCGTCTAAGGTGACGGAGAAAATGAGAGTTTAAGACTGTTTCGAAAATCTTAGAGAGGGATGAACTTAGGGCAATGGGGCGATAGTTAGAGGGATTGGAATGGTCACCCTTCTTTGGGATGGGCTGAACCGAGGCATGCTTCCAAGAAGAAGAAAACGTTTGGGTTTTGAGGTAAAGGCGAAAAAGGCGAGCAAACACAGGGGCCAGAACTTCAGCACACTCCCCCAGAACACGAGGGGGTATTCCGTCCGGTCCATGCGCCTTACTCACATCCAACCTGAATAACACACCAGCAACCCAACGAGTGGAGATTATAGGAAAGTGCATAGGTTCAGTAGGAGGAGCAGGAGTAGAAGGGATAGAGTCAGAATCGTCTAAGGTAGAGTTAGAACAGAATAAGGTGCCAAAATGATTGGCTTAATCAGGGGGAGCGTTGACTATAGAATTATCAGGTCGGAAGAGAGGAGGAAAAGACAGTGCAGAAGTTATTACTGTATGTTCCTTTACCTTTCTCTAATGAAGGCTATTGTTAAGCCACCAATGTCAATGTATGTAATAAGTCATTTATGTCCAATGTATATTGTCAGCCTTCGGGCTGCAGAACTTTTTCAGAACTGTTTCAATAAACCGTTAATTATTATTATTATTTTTATTATTATTATTATTATTATTATTATTATTATTATTATTATTATTATTATTATTATTATTGTTATTATTATTATTATTATTATTATTATTATTATTATTATTATTATTATTATTATGTTTTTGGTTAAGGACCAGAAGGATTTACTAGAAGAAGAGTTAGCCAGGACAGCGGTCTTTCATTTTTTAAATTCAGCTTGGCCCTACGAAGAATAGCCTTACAACGAATCCTAGAAGAAATGAAAGAGGAGTGGGTAATAGGAGAAGGAGATAGTTTCACAACTTGATATGGCCTATCTCTCTCCCTGCATGCAATGGAACAGGGGCGATCAAACCATGATTGTAAAGTGAAAGTTTTGGTAGAAGATGGGTTAAATGCACTCATCCCACCCTGTATAACCCCAGCAATGCTGTCAGCACATACCTAGGCGTCTTGAAAGTGCAATAGTTGGCGTTTAGATGGGGGTGGGGGAGGTGGTCGTGCCCAGTTTGATTTAATAGAAATAAGATTGTAATCAGAAGACCCCAGAAATTGTGTACGAATAGTGTGAGGGATTATATGTAAAACAAAGATCAAGAATGTTAGTAAGTTGATCGTGTCGATCAGGAACGCGTGTAGGGTATTTAATTATTTGTTCCAGATCATTAAGTAAGGAAAAAGAGAGTGCCTCAGCTCCACCTGGGTCATCTCTTGCAGAGTCAAGCCACTCTCTGTGATGTACATTGAAATCCCCTAGGTAGATGATCTCGGTGTTGGGGTTTGTGGATAGCAACGACTCCTGGCAAGAAGTCAGATAGTCAAAGAGTTCTAAATAGTTGGTTGAGTTGGGGGAACAGTATAGGAAACAAAAGAAAATAGTCATAGTTGGTAGAAATATTTTGAACCAGATGACATCATAAAGGGAAGATTCAAGATCCGTGAGTCGAGCTATAGGTGTACGTGTGTTGCAGTAGGGAAAGATGTATAAAGGCTGTAGTTGGAGTCTTGAAAAGGTTTGGGTAAAGCTGCTTTGGTCAGTTGAAGTTCAGATAGTAGTAAGAGGTCGGGGGAAGAGGTTAATAGATGGTGCTCCACAGAAGAGAAATGGATAACAGGCCGCGAAAGTTGGAAAAATGAAGTGTGAAAAAAGCCGATCCTCCAGCAATCCCGGTGACGTCAGTTGAGGCCCCAGTAGTTTGATGATGATCAGGTCGGCCCTGGGGTCCATATCCTTCATCCGAAAAAAGCCCTGCTTTAATATTATTGGCAACTGGTATCATAAGAGAATAAAAGAATAGAAGGAATAGAACAGATCAAGAGCAAGAAAGGTTATATATGTTGTGTTGTCAATAGTATGAGAGACAATTGATACCCTGCAATTGTATGTAAATGGGGAAGAAAGACACATCAGCAAAATGGGACTTGGCCACAATTTTCGTGATGCCATATAGCAGCAGGATCTACCATTAGACAACACATTATGCTTCCAATATCTTCCCAAGCAGTAGTACCTCCCTGTTTGGTAGCTGCCTACCACCTACTACATGGCCTTCCTTTTCGTTACCCCAGCATCCATTCATCATTCTTCTCAGCATCAATCTATCTTAACCCTCATCATCCATCCATTCTTCTCCATCTACGATTTATATCACTACACACAAACACACACACACACACACACACACACACACACACACACACACACACACACACTAGGGCTGCCCACCATCCTGGTCTCATGGCTCACTGATTTATTGAGTGGAAGTCGTCAGGCAGTGAGGTATCAGGGCTCGGTCTCCACATTCCAACACCTAACCTGTGGTGTTTCCCAGGGGACCAAGATGGGACCACTGTGCTTTCTCATCCTGATCAACGACGCTCTCTCGGACACTCCCTCACAGGTGGAAGTACGTGGATGACTGCACTGTGGGGGTTTCAGTGGACAACACCGCACCAGAGTACTCATCGCTACAGGCATGGACTACGGCGAACAAGGTCACCATTAACCACACCAAAACCGTAGTCATGCACATCAATACCGCCACCACTCCAGTGCAAGCCCCAGCAGTCACAATGGGTGCCCATCCTCTCCAGCTGGTGCAATCTGCCAAACTCCTGGGTGTAACTATTGACAACAAACTGGACTGGAAGGCCCATGTAAATAACAGTCAAGGCAGCCTCGTATCATCTCTACATGCTACGATGACTTAGGTCACTTGGGACACCCACGCCAGAGCTGTGGACTATCTACAACGCCTTTATTCTTCCCAAACTAACGTATGCGTCACCAGCCTGGTCGTCTTCTCTCAACTCCACCCAACAACGTCGGCTAGAGAAGGTACAGAAAAGGGCCTGCAGAATCATGATTGGCGCAGAATACTCCGGCTACATCAACGCTCTCTCCACCCTGGAAATGACATCCCTCAGTGACCTCCACCACCAAGCACTGGAAAGGTTTGGCAGCCGCCCTCGTCATCGCCACCTCCTGCCACCGGCAGCCCCCACCCGCCTCGCGCAGTCCGCCACTACAACAAAATTCAGCCCATAAGAGCCCGCAACGATAGATATAAAAATAGCACCATCCCATCTATT